ATAAGTCATATATGTGAGCCGATTGATCGGCTGAGCCAGTTGAGCTGTGGTTCACGCGCCGGTTTAGATATTTGTTGGGCGTTGACTATATTAATTTTGGCAAATTTACTTTGAGTCCAATCCCAATCTTTATTTTTGGCTTCCATTACTTTAATCTAATTGTTTTTTAATGCATTTTTTTAATACAAAATTAGTTTAAAATTAAAACATTTACATTTTTTAATACATTGAAAATGTTTTGCTAATGACCAAACTCATCGTTAGCATATATTGTCCGTTTTAGCCCGCTACGTATCGCTATCAGCCTCACAGTTTTGGAACATATCTATTAGTGAAAGGTTCCACACCCTTATAAGAAATGTTTTGTTGTCCTCTCCAATCGATGTGAGATCTTACAATCCACTGCTTTGGGGGCACACCGCTCGATATATGACTCTGATACCATTTGAAACAGCTCAAGCCCACAACTAGCAAATATTGTCCGCTTTGGTCCGTTATGTATTGTCATCAGTCTCACGGTTTTAAAATACGTCTATTAGGAAGAGATTTTCACACTCTTATAGGAAATGCTTATTTTCCACTGATACAAGATCTCATGTCGCTGCAATGTTAGATGAAGATAATTGTTGTAGTGATCTCCATAGGCAAGTAGTAGCAATGGACGATGATTATCGAAGGTCGGCAGTGGCAGCAAGTGCTAGCGATTAGGCAATGGCGGTGGTGGCAAACAGTGAGAATGAGCGGTAGAGAGAGAGATGCTTCAGCAACAGGTGATGAGTGCATGTCATATATACATACAGGTTTCAACGATGGGTGATGGGTGCGTGTCGGGTGATGGGTGCATGTTGTCACAACCTTACTATGAAGAGAGTAGGTTGTGACCCTCACGCCATGACAAGCAAAGGGGCGTCCCTCAAGAGACGCCCATCCGGCCATATGCGGGCCAACGTAGAAGAATGCCATGATGCGATCGAGGAGGACGATGCATCATCCAACACACCACCACGCAAAGTGGGCATTGAAGACATGTTGAGACACAAGCATAACAGAGACATCAACATAGACATGAAGGACAAGATAGGCTTGTTGAAGGGCCGGGTAGGGCCCCGGGCCTTAACCTCAAAAGTCGAGGTTTCGGAAAGAATTTGGTCATGCGGTTCGGGAGTTAAGTCCGTCCATATGAAATATGAATGCTCGCCAAGTTTGGTGTCAATCGGACATTGGACGGACAATGCACGACACCGTATGACACCTCACGAAAATCATGTCTACTCCTGGTAGAATGAAAATGGCTCAAAATGTACTATAGGGATACCATGGTGTTAGCTCTCCACCACCCCTGAGCCCTGTGGCCTAAGTGAGCTACCCTGTGGCACATACGCGTGTCACAGTGTGGGCGAGCATGCCGAGACGAGAGTCTCGGGGCGACTTCCTTTGAAATGGGTTTTTGAAGGACAGTATCGGACGGCACGGGTGTGCCGGTATTGCGCCCTAGCCCGCGTGTTGGAGGTTGCTACATACACTCGCTATCCGGTACGGTATCCGTAAATGACTCGGCATGGGCATGGGAGGGCCTATGCCTCGATAGAACCCAGATGGATGGATGTTCGGGAAGCCCCGATGAGATGAACGACACGCGGGCCCATTCTCGATGGCACGACCGAACGAGTTATGATGGCCGACGACATCCCGAGGATGGCGTCAAGACATATGGACCCCGTCGATGGGGATCGAGATGGCAAGATGAGATGCGACGTTGTATTGAGAGACCTTGGCCCGAGCAGAGGCAAGGTCGAGCCGAATGAGTTGGCCTAGCGTAGAGGCAAGTCGGATGTGTCGCAGACGATTGAACATACACGCACAGGCGGCGTGTGTGGTTGAACAAGCTTGGATTCCGTACAAGCGATGTTCGATTGGCGAAGACAAACCTCGCCTAAGGTCCGACGAAGCCACAAAGCTGGGGCGAAAAATATATATGGGACTTGATTCCCCTTAAGGCTGGTCGTGAGCGTGTATCGATCACGACGCCGCACGGTCAAGAATGCAGGACCGTGACACATGTCATATATGCGTATCCATACATACATACATACATACATACATACATACATACATACATACATACATACATACATACACACGCTTCAACCATGGGTGATGGATGCGTGTCATACATACATACATATACATGCATGCATACATGGTGGATGAGCATAAAAATTTAATTTTATATTGTATTAAAAAGAAAAGAAAAAAAGAAAAAAAAGGAAACTATTAAAGTAAAGAACGTGGTGTCCGGAGTAGGCCAAAAACCCTAACCCCTGAATATCATCTCTGTTGTAGTGTGGTTATTCTCTCTTCCCATCGGCCGATCAAATCAGATGGCTTTCTTCTCCACTGTGAGGCGCGTTCTTAATGGATCTTCCTCTTCTTCTTCCGTTCTTCGATCACAGTGGACTTGTTTTCGTCTCAGCTCAACTCTCACATCGCCTAAGCTCTTCATCAGTGGTACGTTTCGCAGAAAAAAAACAATCAGCTCGTAACGCCTTTTTTCTACCCCTTTGATTTTGTTAATTTCATCCATTTGGATATTGAGAATGATATGGAATTTGGTATTAGGCTCTAATTTCTGTTTGGATGCTGAGAAATTTCTGAGATTGTTGCTACCCCTTTATCTCTTATACTCAATCGATTAGTTTCGGTCGGAGGCACTAAATGGATTAATTGTTAATCGATTATGCTCTGTTCTGTTCCATTCTTTGCACTCTATTTCTGGTCTTTCTCTTCAAGTGGAAGGAAGCTTCTTTCCCTATATGAACTTGTGAAATTACTTCGCTGTTTAGTAAGTGGGGGGATTTGTTTTGGCGAATGAAATTAGAAATGTATTCCGATTTTATTTGTACCTATAAAATACGTAGATTTGTGTGCCTGCTTGATGTCTCGAACAATTCTTGCATTGGAAAGTTCCAAGAAATCTTTGCTAATTCATGTTTATGCGACTCGATATGCGCTTTGCGTTTGAAGGTTTGCTATTTGGCTGACAAACCTTGCAAGTACAATGGAGTACTAAAATTTTTTCCCTTCCCCCCACCCCATGGAAAAGCATTGATGAACCTTCTCATTTGTGGGTTTCTATTTTTTTGTCTTCTTTCAGAGGGGTTTTTTCTTAGTACTATAGTGAACCTCCATCTCTAGAATGATAAGATATTGTTCACGTTGGACATAAACGCTCATCACACTACTTTTGGCTTTTCCAAAATGACTTATACCAATGAAAATAATTATAACGGCTCAAGCCCACTGCTAGCAAATATTGTCCTCTTTATTTTCCTCTTTCGGCTTTCTCTCAAGGTTTTTAAAACGCGTCTATTAGGGAGAGGTTTCCACTCCCATACAAGACAATTTGGTCGAGTGGTCTAAGGTGCACCTTCCTTTTCGGTGGCTCAATCTTAAAAACTCCAAAGTTAAACGTGTTTTGTTTGGAACAATTCTATGTTGGACGGTTACGCTTGGTATTAGAGCTAGACATTGAGCGATGCCAACAAGGAGGTTGAGCCTTGAAGAGGGGTGGACACGAGACGGTGTGCGAGTAAGGACGCTGGGTCCTGAAGGGGGGGTGAATTGGGGGATCCCACTTCGATTGGAAGAGGGAACGAGTGCCAGTGAGGATGCTAGACCCCGAAGGGGGTGGATTATGAAATCCCACATCGGTTGGGGAGGAGAACGAAACATTCTTTATAAGGGTGTGGAAACCTCTCCCTAGTAGACGCATTTTAAAAACTTTGAGACGATACCCGAAACCTCTCCCTAGCAGACGTGTTTTAAAAACCTTCAGACGATTCCCGGAACTTCTCCCTAGCGGTGGACTTGGACCGTTACAATAATTGTCCTCTCTTATATATCCATGACCACTCTCTTCCTTGGCCAATGGGGAAGTTTGTTTCCTATCCTAACTGTTCTTATCCTTTCTTCACAATTTGAATATTAGTAAGTGATGTATTAGATATGTTTCATTGGTCTACACTTTTCTTAAATGTTGTTGTTATGGTAAACAAGTAGTTTAAAAATTATAGTAATAGAAAATTTTCTTGTTATGGTTGGATATTGAATGACCTCCACATGATGTCTTTCATAATCTAATATTCTTTATGAACTTGCATCAGCCTAAGTTTTGATTTGTGGCTGAGCCATGATGAACTGTTTGACCTGTTTTGGATTGGTTTCATTCTTATAAAATGCACAGGTCTTTCAAGATTAACAACAGACGAGAAGCTCCAGGAAGCCTTTACTTCCTTCGGTCAGCTTGTAGAAGGTCCAACTCTCTCTCCCTCTCTCAAATTTACAATTCCATGAACATCTGTTGCAGAGTACTCCATGTTGACATTGCCTCAACATTTGTACAGCGAAAGTTATAACCGATAGGGCAACGGGAAGATCAAAGGGGTTCGGGTTTGTAACGTACAGTACAATAGAAGAGGCTGAGAAAGCAAGAGAAGGAATGAACGCCAAGTTTCTGGATGGATGGGTTATTTTTGTTGATCCTGCCAAACCCAGGGAGCCTAGGCCGCCTCCTCCACAGCCTCAATCTGCTGAGACCTCTGAATTTGGTATCAGAACAAACAAGACAATTGGTTGGTGTGGTTGATTGATTGATTGCCTGCAAAATCTATATGAAACTTCATATGATTTTGGTCATTTTTTCATATTGTTCATCATCCATGGGTAGTGTAGTATAGATAAGTTTCATGAGACAATACCTTAGGAGCCTGAAAAGGGTAAAATTTTGTTATATGTATGGATTCAGAAAGAGGGGAAAGGAGCTTTTCATTAAATTTAAACATATTTAATTATTATTATTAGTATTATTATTTGCATACTTGTTTTATTAATTAGATTTAAATTATAATTCAACTGTTAATGCATATCTTATTTTATAAAAGGTTAGAAGTTTGGGAAAATGTTGGTTTTCCAAATAAATAAATACAGCGCGTGTGGTTCACTTTCCCATTGTATTGACTTCATTTCAAACTGTCATCACCGTTGAAAGCCCGTCGTTAACTTCCCTCCAATTTTCACCTTTTTTTTTCTGTTTGTTTCCCGAGAAAATATTTTTTTGTGTTCACCAATGGACTCTCGTGGAAAGGGTAAGAAAGGCGCTGCCGGCACAAGCGACGGCGGAGACGGCGGAGACGGCGGCGGCTCCAAGAAGAAGTCAGTGTCTCGTTCTGTGAGAGCCGGCCTCCAATTTCCGGTCAGCAGAATCGGCCGGTACTTGAAACAGGGCCTGTACTCTGAGCGGGTCGGAACCGGCGCTCCAATCTACCTTGCTGCCGTGCTTGAGTACCTTGTTGCGGAGGTGAATTTCTATCACTTAATTTAGGGTTTCTTTTAAGGTGATTTTATTGATGGATTGAATTCTTGCATTGTAAATGCATTCTTCTTTTTCTCTAATTTTCTTGCACTGTTTTTTTACAAAAGATTTTTATTTTTCAGCAAGTTCGAACAATTATGATATTGTCCACTTTGAGCATAAACTCTTGTGACTTTGTTTTGTAATTTCATAAAAGGGCTCGGATCAATAGAAAAAGTATTCCTTAACCATGATCATTCCCTAGATTAGCAAATGTGGGACTTTCAACCGATATGAGATCCCACTGTTAAAATATCATCACTAATCTAACTAGGTTAGGAAAATAGTTTAAAAATTTTAGAATTTTAAGAATAAATTTATCAGATTTAGATAAAATTTTAGGAATAGATTACCTAATTTTAGGAATAAATTTAAGAAAATGATAAATTTTAGGAATAGATTTAGAAAAATGATTTAGATACAGTAAATTTTAGGAATAGATCGTCTAATTTTAAGAATAAATTTAAAAAAATAGTTTAGATAAAATAAATTTTAGAATAGATAGCTTAATTTTAAGAATAAATTAAAAAAAAAAAATGATTTAGATAAAAGATAAATTTTAGGAATAGATTCCTTAAATTTTAGGATTATCTATGATCGAGTATAAATACCCCTCCACTCTATCATTCTAATCAATACAAAGCCGTAGTTAAATTAGTTAAGTGTGCTAGTGTTGCTAGTGTTTCACATAGAAGTTGTGTTCAACACGACGTCGGTTGTAGAGAGAGAATGAAACAAACATTCTTACAAGGGTGTGGAAACCTCCTTTTAATGACTTTGAGAGAAAGTCCTAAAAGGACAATATCTGCTAGCGGTGGGCGGTTTTTTACAATATGGTTTGATTGAGTGAGATATACATTAGATTAAATTATGGTATAGGTTTTGGAAGTGGCAGGAAATGCAGCCATGGACAACAAGAGGAACAGGATCAGCCCGAGACACATTGTTTTGGCGGTGAGGAACGACGAGGAACTCGCAAAGCTTTTCAGCGAGGTGACGATCCCGTTCGGTGGGGTGGTTCCGAACATCAACCCAGTTCTTCTTCCAAGGAGATCTGAGAAGAGAGCAGCAGCAGAAGCAGAAGAACCACCGCCGTCCCCCTCCAGGGGCAGCTAGTCCCCCAACAATGCCTTACTTCCTCAAATCCCCACATTCTTAAATATTCTTTGCTGTTCTTAGATTGGACTTTTCTTCATGTTTTTATGACCATTTTATTTCTATTTCTGCCTTCATTTTCAGGAACAAAATAAACAATAAAACTAAAACTATTAATTTTTTTAACCACCCACCCGTCCCAGATATTGTCATTTTTTAGTTTTTCCTTTTGAGTTTCTTTGAAAACCTATTTATTGGAGAGAGGTTTCCATTCCCTTCTAAAAAAATATTTCGTTCTCCTTCTCAACTAATGTGAGATCTTATAATCAACTTTGCTTTGGGGCAACGTCATTAATGACACACCACCTTGTGTCCATCCCCTTTGGGGCTCAGCCTACTCGTTCACATATCACTCGTTGTTTGGCTCTAATACCATTTGTAACAACTCAAATCCACCACTACCATATTGTTCTCTTTGGGCTTTGCATTTTGGGCTGAAGGGATGAACTCTTTATCTCGGAAGCATTGGGAACCGTTTTTATTTTTAAGTATTGAGAACCAGAGATTGGAGAAGAATAGTTTCAAGAATTCTCTTAAACCTAAAAGAAAATTTTGTTAATAAAATTGATTAGGTCAAAATAGTTAGAGTATTTTCATGTTGTTTAAATATTTTTTTTAGATTTGTTTCCAAATTTCTGGTTCCAAAATTTGTGTTGTAAGGGTATAAAATTTGTGTTGTAAGTGTCGAGAATCTCTTGTGAAGCCTCTAGAGAGAATAGTTCAAGGGATGGGAGAAAATAGTTTCGAAAATTCTCTTGTGAGCTCGTTGAAATGTAATATCTTATATAAATCATATTTAAATATTATAAGATATCTTAATATATTTAACTAATTTAAATTTTAAATATATTTTTATTTAATATATTAAAATCATTAATTTATTTAATATTTAATGGTATGAAATACAATAAATATATTTTTTTCTTTAATATACCTAATATATTAAATATTAATTTTAACCTTATATTTTTCATCATTTATATTTAACCTATCTAATATATTTAATATTAATTTGACATCTTCAAATTAAATATATTTTCTTTATTTATTTAATATATTTAATATATTCGATATTAATTTGACATTTAAAATTTAATTTAATTTTTCTTTTCATATTTAATATATTAAATATTAATTTGAACCTTTCAAATTTTTTTTCAAAATATATGGAAGCTTTTAACTTTACAAAAAGTAAGAGGTACCTAGATTATAACCTCCAATAATACAAAATTAGTTAATTAAACTCTTTACTTAATTAATTTCCATTCATTAACTCGTGACCATTCATTAAGTCACTTCACTATGGACCTAGAGTTGCACTCATGCACTGCATGACAAGTTATGTCCATTGATATAATCAAACTTGATCCTTCACAAGTTGTTCATAATTATAGCTGCGTCAAAAGTCCGTTTTACCCCTGTAATTATCTCTTTCGCGAGTGCCACTGATTTTCTAATGAATAATTTATTTATGATCCAACCATAAACCAAGTCCCTCCTGGGCCAATGAGAGGGTGAGGCCCCATTGTTTAAATCTCGAAATCAGTACTTTAAGAGAACAACTCATCTACTTCCCTTATATGGAAAGCAGTGAATTCTATCTCATGATATTATGTTCCCAACTCCCTATCTAGTCAAGTCCCTAAATGGTAGGCTTCTATCTCATGATATTATGTTCCCAACTCCCTATCTAGTCAAGTCCCTAAATGGTAGGCTTCTATCTCATGATATTATGTTCTCAACTCCCTATCTAGTCAAGTCCCTAAATGGTAGGCTTCTATCTCATAATATTATGTTCCCAACTCTCTATCTAGTCAAGTCCCTAAATGATAGGCATATTGAATCGACGAACATAGTCATTCTCACCCATGTAAATTAAATGGACAAACTCTCATGTAAATTAAAGGACAAATCCTCTCAGACAAAAAGTCATAACTCACTTAGGATTAAGATCTAATTGTATATGATATCATGTGAAATATTAATATTTTCAATATCCCACTTACATGTCTCCATATGAACGATTTGGATCAAATCATTTGTAACGATTACAAAGTGGACTATATCAATAGTGTTATCAGAATGAGTCACCCAACATTATCCATATACTACAGACCTCAAACACAATCCTCAAACCCAACATTAATAACCTTTGATTTTTATAAAAGAATAACAATTAAAGTACAAATAAAATAATAGTTAATTATTAGATATTTTTGGTCCATGATGAGTGAGGAAAGCATTGAAAGGAATTGGTCCATTTTCCACAAAAAGAATCTTCAACTAATTAGATTCAATGTACTAAATTTTAGGTGTCTTTCACATGTTATTAATAATACTTGTCAGAGAACAACAGCCAATATCATAAGGAAATTTAAAAATATTGGAAAGCGGAACCACTTCAAAATACATTCAACGTCAATACAATGGGCTTTTTATATTAAAAAAAAAAACAAAAACAAAAAACAAAAAAAATATAGCCATTGATCTAACACTAGTATGATGGCTGTGTAACATTTTTGATTCAATCCTTGATACAACCATTTATAGGCATATTAACAAAACATATTGTAAATTCAAGTATGATAGCATATGAACAAACCATACGGACAAGAAAATCTTTTAGAGGACTACCGCCTCAAGCTCTCCACTATGTAGTCTGCATAGAGATTCCTGCATAAATAAGAACGTTACAATGACCATCAACGCTCGTGGTTATTAGAATTATAAAGCTGCTATGTTGAGGATTGTTGGGTGGGAGTTCCACGTTGGCTAATTTAGTGGAAGATCATAGGTTTACAAGTGAGGAATACTATTTCCATTGGGAGGAGGTCTTTTGAGAAAGCCCAAAATAAAGCCAGAGAGCTTATGCTCAAAGTGGACAATATTATACTATTATGAAGAGTCGTGATTCTTAACACGCTAATAGTACTACCAAATTACAAAAGGCAAGAGATATTTGCAATGCTTACATTGAGTGGTGGATAGCCTTTAAGGCATCAGTGGCTGGCAGAAAGTCATTCACAGCGACCTCCTTGTTCTCATTCTTCTTGTCTGAATAGTTTAGTCAAGGAGAAATATGCAAGATGAGGATTCAAAAAAACATTCTAAGTTTGTTCTCGCTGATGATGTTAAAAATTATCAAACTAGTTTAAGGATACAGTCTTCGAAGAAACGACGAATCTCAGCCAATCGATGTGGTGGGAGGTCCTTGATGTCATTGTAGTGACGGTATTCGGGATCATCGGCACAAACAGCAATAATCTTGTCATCTTTTTCACCCTGCATTAAAATGTTATTAGACCTCTCTGTTATTTAAGAACACAATATAACATTTATTCGAGAAGCATTACCTGGTCAATCATAGGCATTAGACCTATAGCTTTAGCCCTCAGGAAACAACCAGGAAGAACTGGCTCCTGAAATATTTCAGAGCAACATCAGTTAAAATGTGCACCCATGTTATTATAAGTGCTACTTCAATTGAAGAAATTGAAGTTGTACCTGCATGATGACCAAGACGTCGATGGGGTCATTGTCCTCGCAAAGAGTCCGAGGAATAAAGCCATAGTTATGTGGGTAAACAACAGATGAGTAAAGAATCCGATCAACCTGAATAAACATGAGTCGCTTCATCTCACTGGCCACAGATAAAATCCATCACGAATAAAAAGTGATTAGCTTATTATTACCTTGATTAGACCAGTTTTTTTGTCAAGTTCATACTTCACTTTGCTTCCTTTTCCTATCTCAATAACCTGCATGATGAAAAATCATCAAGATTGAACTTATGCATCGATTCACCATTAAAACATTTGTGAAACTTTGAAAGTCAAGCTGCTAAAGTGCTTAATATAAGAAGAAGAAAATAGGAAACCAATTAAGAATACTGATCCACCAATTGAATAACATTGATATACCAACTACAAAGTTGTTACTGTTCAAGGCTCATGGCACTCTCATGAAATTATATCACATACTAATACAATCAATTCAAAAAAACACCATATATGATACTATTTTATTCAGATCAGCATCCTTACACAGTTGAAAATCTTTGGAGCCCCAGGTCCTGAAATAGAATTAGAAGTTCGTTTATTAGTATACTATACCAACTATAAAACCTCAATCACCAGAAAAAGGTATAATAAAAAACATGCCTATCTCAAGATCATGCCAAGGATGTGCAGCAACAGATCTCCTAGTCATTGAAGAAAGAATTCTCTCATTCAGTGGTGGGTGTGGAGAAGGATGAGCATTGTTTGTTGTTCCATTTGAAGGAGCCATAACAGCAGGCTGGAATTGTACGCACCAAATTAGTACATTCCCAAACGAAATTTAGATTTGAGGATGTATCTTAAGACACTCTATAAAGTATACATTTCCAAGCACACTATTCATGGCCCAATTCTTTGCCAAACCAGTTTATAATGAAACTTATCATGAATAAATTCGGTATAACAGACCAGTTTTATCAGAAAACGGAATTTGTTCAAGATATATAAATTTATGTCTCAAGACTGTAACAAGTATTTACCAATCAAGTTTATACTAAACCTTATCAGAAACAGATAAATGCATCAAGTTTACGTTTAGACTGAACATACTTAAGAATTACTGGTGGAATATGAAAGAAATTGTGCAAGGAAAAGCTAAATCCTTAATACATGCATGGATCTCTCTAAAAGAAAACATAGCCTCATGTGCCTGTTTAAAACATTTAACATCAAACACTATCTAAAAGCTCATCAACCTTAACAACGTTGGAAAGTAAAGATAAATAGCCTTTTTTCACAGGTTTATCAGATTCAACCAATCAACATATTCATAATCATAAAAGAAGGTATAGTATTACGATTATTGCAACATCATCTAGCACTTTTACGAGAAAGAAATGAGGATCCATAATTGTGAAAAGAACAACCTAAACAAAAATCAAGACAGCGGCATTCAAAAGCAACACAGAATGCGTAGTCACATTGTCACAGGTCAAAATGCAGAAACTGATGGTTCAGATCAGAAATTAATAAGCATCTTCATGCTTGTAGTCATCGAACAATA